TTTTAGTAGAGACAGGGTTTCACCATGTTGGTCAGGCTAGTCTTGAACTCCTGATCTCAGGTGATCTGCCCACCTCGGCCTCCCAAAGTGCTGGGATTAAAGGCATGAGCCACCATGCCCAGCCTAATTCTTCCTCTTAGCAAGCTCACCCTACTCCAGCAGTGAGCGCTGTCAACACTCCCACTCTGCAGATAAGGAAATTCATGATGGTAGCACTGGCTACAGGGCTGGGGCAGAATGACAGGAGACAGCAGCAAGAAGGATGGAGCCTGGCCCTGCATGGTGTCGGTGTTAAACCCAAACAATTATTAATTTTATTGCTGTTGATATCATTATGATAGTCAAGCTGTTCTCATGGGGAAGAAAATACAGCACCTGCCAAAAGGAGACAGATGCTAAGTGATGCGTACAAGCTCAAGCTGAAATGGCAACTTCCTGAGAGCAGGGGCCCTGGCTCTTTCTTCCCCATGTCTGGGGACTTTAGGGCAGTATCTGACTCCCTGCAGGGACAGCACAGAGGGTTCACCAGGTTCTCAGTGCTAAGTCCTGGCCGTATACCATCTCATTGAACACTTCCAGCACTCCCTGAGGTCACAGTTATCACCATTCCCAACACACTGATTGGGTCACATGCTCAGGGAGGCTACGTGGATCCAGGTGACAGAACAGGAAGGTAACAAAGCCAAGGTAGGACCCAGGTCTGTCTAATTCCAAAACCACCCTCCGTGCCAACTTCAGAATTCACTTCCTTCTCAAGAGTCCCCCAGCTCAGCCTAGCTGCCCTCAAACTCAAACCAATTTTAACGGCTTCTCTTTCCCTTCACGTTGAGCTATTGATCTTCATTTTCCAGGCTGGTTTTGGCATGAACCACTGTATCTTGGAAGTTTTATCAGGGGCTCATTCTGGCTTTAAGCTTTCATTAGCGCAGTTAACTTCCAATACGCTGCAAAAATATTTCTTCACATGTAGCTTCTAACTGCTTTGCCATCCAGATGGTTTTGAAATCAAGGAAGCTGCTATATTTGCCTGGAGCTGGTTGTTTTGAATTTTGCGATCACAGCCTTGGTCAGAAGATGAGTGACACAGCTGGCCACAGTGATTCGTCTTTGAGGAGCACATTGCAAAGCAGCAAGAGGAAGTCTCCACTGATAATTTTTTTGTTTGTTTTAAATAACTAATACGATTACGCGTTTCTATTCACATTAGATTTTTGGAAGAGTGTATTTAAGTAATTTTCTTTAGTTTTTATTCTGGGTTTCAAAACAGAGCTCCACGTCAACAACTAATTTATTATGGAATAGCCTGTGATTTTGACCTAGTTAATCTGACTCTAAATGATAACTTGCCATCGCAAAGTATATGGCAAGAGATAAAAGCAGAGCTGAAATTAGAAAAAAAAAAATACAAGTGCGAGAAAAAAAGGAGAAGCTATGGTTTCTCATTTTCCCCCTCCAGCACAAATTGTTGAGTAATGAGATTTTTAAAAGCCAGAAATTGCTGTGGCGTGAACCAGTGCTGGCAGCTGGAGAACTGGCACCAGACACATCTGGCCTGACAGGGTTTGAAGGAAGGCTCGCTGCAGTGGGTGACTACCCGTACCGCAGCCGGGCTCCTGCAGCCGCCATGTTCAGATACAAGAGGGAGGGAGAGCAAATGGGAAAAATCAACGACCAAATTAGAAACTACCTAAGCCATGCTGTTTTTCTTGGGGCCCCACTGTGCCTTTGATTTCCTGATCGCTCAGAGCAAGAATAACAAAATCCGTCTAACCCAGTGATTTGGACAGATTCATCTGAAAAGCTACCCATTGGGTTTGATCTGTTCATACCAGTGATTCCCAACTGGGGAGCCAATTTATCCCCTGGAGACATGTGGCCATATCTGGAGACTTTTTCAGTTATAACTAGGAGGAGGTGCTACTGGCATCTGTAGGAAGAGGGCAGGGTTGCTGCTAAGCTCCCCAAAATGCACAGGATGGGCCCCTCACCCCCAACAAAGAATCATCTAGTGCCAAATGTCAATAGCAGTAAGGTTAGGAACCCCTAACATGTGTGTACTCAATCTGAATTCCTTTGGTGGGGTGGCTGGTGTGCCATTATATATATAGTTTCTGGAACCTGGAGACATGAAGTTCAGGCCTGCCCAGCTCAGGCACCTAAATTATGTAAGTAGCTGAAGGATCAACTGGGTCCCGTTTCCTTTTACTAAAGCAAAAAGATCTCATCACCTGGTGATACAGCCAGCGGTGAAAAGAGCTTTTGAAAGAAGCGTTCAGTGGAAAAGAGTGCCCGGGGTAGAGCTGGGAGCTGCAGCGGCAGGCTGAACGGCATCCTCCCCCTTTCTGGCGGCTGTGTCGGAATTGAGGGCAGGTGGACCCTGGAGCGGATGCCCCCCTCTCTCGTCAGCCCCCCGGGACACTCTTGGCTTCTCTGCTGTTGAATCTGTCTCACTTGCTGTGGTGAAAGGTCACCAAGGAGCTGGGCAGCAGGACTCCCCAGGCACCAGCCACGGTTCTACACTCACAGTGATTTTATTGGCATGACGGGAAGCTCGGGCCTGCCAAAGACAACAGTCCTGTGCTGTGACTGAGACTGCAGGCTCCTGGGGCATGTGTCCTACCACTCTAGACTGTCCCATTCCCACTGGGTGCAACGGCCTGGAAGAGGTGGATGACGGCAGATGGACACCCGGTTTCCCCATCCTGTCCTCCCTATCTCAGCACCCAGCAGAGGCGCGCTTCCACGCCTGGCCCCCTTTCACCGTTTCCAGTTCACATTTTCCTGCCCTTTCTAAAGAAGCAGCAGGGCTGAAGTGGTCTCTTTTCATGCTCGTGATCAACTCTGTGGCCAAGGGCAGCTGTGTTACCTCTGGCTCCCAGGCTGCCAGGGGAAGCGGCCCCTGGATGAATGTCCCTTTCCGCATGTGCATCTGCAACTCTTCAAACTGCGGAGGCGCCCTCCCTCGACCCTCCCTCGACCCTCATTCACACCCTTGCCAGCTCTTCCCAAAACAGCTTGCCTAGAAATATGGGGGCTGGGAAGAAAAGACTGTGATTGAAGAGCTCCTCGAGGTGATTTAGACTTTGCTCCTTGCCTGTGCTCCGTGGGACCGCGCAGCCCCTCATTACCCCAGGGTTCTCGGCTGCCATTCCCTGAACGCGAGCTCAGGGCCAGGCCGCAAGTGGAGTGCTCTTCTTGCACGTGCTCTGGTAATCTTCACAACCATCCCAGACGGAGGAGGGGATTTTGTGAGCCCATTTGGCAGGAGAGAAAGTCAAGACTGAGAGAGCAGATGGCTATGCTTACCCAAGGCCAGACGGGTTGATACCATGTTGATCTGGGCCTCCCAACCAGGTGGTCTAAGCCCAGGGCCAGAATTCTTAGCCTTTCATAATGTAAGGGTGCTTGGGGATGAGCCCCCAGCTGGGCACACTTCAACTGTGGTTACTGTCATTTTTGTCAGTGGTGACTGGCCCCTGTGATGGCACACTCCAGTCAGCTGGCCTTTGTACAGTTTTATCTACCCTACTCCCCACCCCTACGAAGAGCCACCAGTAACCCCTTAGTCCTGGAGAAGGCACTGCCTCCTCTACCAGGGGTTCCTGAAGCCCCTTGTTCCCCTTTGTCAGGCCCGCTGGGCACAACTCGAGCCTGGGGCCACTGAGCACTCCCTAGCTTCTCCCCAAGTCCTGCTGCAGGACGAAGCCCCGACCCTGCACAGGTCAGGATTCCGTGAGCACGAAGAACCCCAGCATCCTTGGTCTGAGTGACCGGGCCTGTCCCGTACCACGGGGGGCTCAGTGGGTCTGGGATCCTCCTGTGTCTTCTTGGAGGCCCCGGTCCCACTGGGCCCAGCACAAAGGGCAGCTCTGGGTACCTACAGGCCAGGCTCCGACTGGCGCAGAGCGTACAGGGGCGCTCACATGGTGCGGTGACGCGACTCCCTTCCGCAGGGCCCAGGAAGCTCCTGGAGGCGCGCAGGTGCCGGCCAGGTGAGACTGGAGAAGGGCGCGCAGGGCGCAGCACAGCGGCCGCGTGCGCCTGCCCAGGGCCGTAGTCCCCAAGGGCGCTTAGGGGACATCAGACGGCGAGCTCCCTCCCTTCCGACCTCAGCCAGTTTGCCGGATGGGGGAGGGTGGCACCTACCTCCGAAAAGCACCAGGACGCAAACGTAGGGGAGCATGGCTGCGAGCATCCCGGCGGGGCTAGCAGGACAGCCCGCTGGGCACTCCCCAAGGTGCGCAAGGGGAGGCGTGGGCGCTGGGCTCTCGGACGGCAGCGGGCGCCGGCGTCCAGGCTGGGGTCCTGAGAAGAAGTTGCAAGGGTCCTGCGCCCCCCTCGGCGCTCACACGCGCTCAGCCTCCCCGGCTGTTGATAGTTGTAAGCAGAGCTGCTCACTCATAGGTCCAACTCTCCAGAAGAGGTGGAGACAGCCCTCGGCGAGGCTCGCACACCCGCGCAGGGCGCACAGCCCCTGGTGCAGCTCTGTCCACCATTCAGACCCCCAGCACTGCCCCAGATGTCTGTCCCCTGGCAGTCGCCTTCCCCAAAGTCTTCGCAGTGGGCAAGGAGGCCTTCCCCAAACTCTGGTCCCGGCCAAGCCAGAGCGATGCGCTCCTTGCGTCAAAGCGCACCCCTAGCCAGGCCGTTCCCTGGAAGGTCAAGCGGGGCGGGGGGGGGGTTCCCCTTAGCCCCTCAAGCTCTGGGACCCCTGAAGTTTCTATTCACGTCTTCCAGATACTCCTGGAAAAGTCGCGTCAACTTGGATCCCAGCAAACCCAGAAGCTCAGTGAAAGTGGCCAACCCGGTCGCTTAGAAGCCAGCCACGGCCTCCGTCTGTAAATGAGGCCCTCAACCCCTCCCCACCACACCCAAACGCATCCAGGCGAAGTGTGGAGCCGACCAGGCTGGTTTTCCTCCTCCTCCCAACTCCTCCTCCTGCTCCCCCCCCACTCCCCAAATCTCATCTGAGTGAGTCAGCTGAGGGTGGCAGCTCAGAGGCAAGGCAGCCATGAGGCGGAGGACAGGCTGGGGGACCCCAATGGGTCCACTCCGGCCCCCACCCCAGGCACTGGGACTCTGGTGGCACCCTGGATGGCAGGCAAGCCTTGAAGTCAAGTGCACGCGCCTTGGAAAGGAGGACAGGGAGAGTTATGGGATTTATGAATGAAGAAGAGAAAGAGAATCACTCGGATGGGAAAAGTTAACTGGATTGTTCCCACCTGCATGGATCACCGGGTAACAGAAGTGGGACCAAGGGGGAGAGGCTGCGGGCTGGGGATGTGCGGGTTTCCTTGCGTTGCCATAAACCCAGAGACGGAGAGGAAGAGATGGAAAGAAAAAGGAAAAAGGGAAAGAAAGTAAGAGGAGAGAGAGGGGAAAAGAGAGGATGAAGAGAGACGGAGAAGAGAGACCTGAGAGAGGGAGAGAAAGAAAGAGACAGAAAGAGAAATGGAAGTGGGGAAAGGGGAAACAGGCAGAGAGAGTAAGGGGAGGGAAGAGAGAGGGAAAAGGAAGGAGGGAGTGAAATCAAGAGAAGTAAAAAGAGAACCAGGAAGGGGGGGGGAGAGAGAGATTGAGAGAGAGAAAGAGAGGGAAGAGAAGAGAGAACAGACGAGAGAGAAGAGAGAAGACAGAGATGTGGCCTCCTTGGGGAAAGGTTTGGAGAACTGGGTCAGACCCGTTTCCCGGGGCTCACCAGTGAGCAGTCCACCTGCCCCTCTGAAGCATTTGATAGACTCATATGTCCCACTTTTGTGAGCTGATCATCCCACAGAGGACCAGGGGACACCACCTCACCTTTTGATTTCTTACTAGAAACTTGGGTGAGGCTTCCAGGAGCTACAAGAGCCCTTGAGTCCACCCAGGGACCGCGGGCCCACGAGCTTCCTTAGCTTTCCTCCTCTCCAGAGGCAACAGGGAATAGGAAAAAGTCCAGAGCAAGGCCACAGCACAACCTTATGCAAATGGAAATGTGAGGAAAACGATCAATTTGCTTCCTGAAAATGACATTTTTTTTTCTGGTTTCTATGAGACGCGAGGTGGCCTTTCTGAAACCGAAATCGGTATGAGCTTTCCCTGGCAGACAATGGCTACAGGCCACATGTTAAATTCTTATGAAAGGGATAACTTTGTGGGCCAGAGGAGAATTGTGCAGGGTGATTATTTATAATTGCATAATTGTGATTATTTGTTCAATTAACCCCTGAAGTTTCTATTCACGTCTTCCAGATACTCCTGGAAAAGTCGCGTCAACTTGGATCCCAGCAAACCCAGAAGCTCAGTGAAAGTGGCCCTACAGGCCAGGCTCCGACTGGCGCAGAGCGTACAGGGGCGCTCACATGGTGCGGTGACGCGACTCCCTTCCGCAGGGCCCAGGAAGCTCCTGGTGAAACCCCGCCTCTACTAAAAATACAAAAATTAGCTGGGCATGGTGGCAGGCGTCTGTAATCCTAGCTACTCCAGAGGCTGAGGAGGAGAATCACTTGAATCTGGGAGGTGGAGGTTGCAGTGAGCCAAGATTGTGCCATTGTACTCCAGCCTGGATGACAAGAGTGAAACTCCATATCAAAAAATAATAATAATAAATTAAAACTACATGCTATTCTGGCCATAATCATTTGAGACTTCAGTCTCTGGGCTTTCTGGATGTGGGTGTTTCAAAGTCCCAGATGGCTGATGGGGGTTCAAGCATTAGCGGCTTTTCGCGGGGAGGATGGGTGTTACACTGATGTCCTACGAAGGGTCATAATTCAGTATTTTCAGAACTTATTGTACTGCTATTAGAGGTATGAACTTTCCCACAAAGTATGGTGCTTGTGCATTAATAGTTGTATTGGCTTATTTATAAATGAGAGGATTTGCTGATAATTATTGAGACTGTGGCATGGGCCGGGCGCTAGCTGGGTTGAGTACTTTGTATGCATGTACTTTATATCTGAGCAAATTGACAAGAAGTAGGAATTATGGTCAGGCCATTTTACAAACTGGGGCAACTGAGTTCAGAGAATTTGGGCCACTGTCCTGAGGCCAGGCAGCTGGAAGGTGGCAGAACCCCCAGGTCCCTGCTTCCGACCACTGTGCTGTGTCTCCAGAACACGTCCTGTCTCACTGGGTTGTCTACTCCTTTCTGAATCTGAGGACCCCAAAAGAAAAGGCCTGTTTTAAAATAACAGCTTCTCTTCAAAGAGGTGTGTGAATAATGGGGGAAACATAACTCCAAAGTACTTTTTGTATCCAGCCTGGGCAACACGGCAGAACACCATCTCTCCAAAAAAATACAAAAATTCTCCAGGTGTAGTGGCACAGGCCTGTAGTCTCAGCTACTAGGGAGGCTGAGGTGGGAGGATCTCTTGAGCCTGGGTGGTCGAGGCTGCAGTGACCTATGATTGTGCCACTGCACTCCAGCCTGGGCGACAGAGCAAGACCTTGTCGCACACACACACAAAAAGTGCTTTTTCTAGATCCTAGCTAAACCCCAACTGTTGAGGCTGAGAGTTACAGGTGGGCCCTGTGCCTGCTGCGTTCTCACCCTTGCGATGGGGCAACACTTGGGAGGATGTGGGCAGCTGTAAAGGGCACTGGAGGCTGACGGGTCCAGTGCTCCTCACTTTCCAGGTGAGGAAACAGAAGCACAATGCAGGTTACCACAACGAGGTAACACAGATTTTACCCCACAAATAGAAAAAAGCAAAGAAAATGGACAAATAGTGTTTGAACAAGGCTCTCCTCAACTCACAAGGAGATCAAACAAGAGCAAAAGAAGGAACCGAAGCTAAAACTCATTTATTGTCTTCAAACATAAATTTATTTTTAATCAAAAAAAGGAAAAAGTTACGTTGTCCAGCTCTTGCATTTTGCTCAAGGAAGGGTGATATACACTTGGTTCCTGACCTCTTTCTTAACAAATAATCGCTTGACAACTTTTGAAATGGTAACAATCATAAAGCTGTTTTGGGGAGAAGCCCCAGCTCTGTGTTGGCCGTGAGTCACATCTGTGGGCATTACTGCATCTTGGCCTCTGTAGCTGGGCTTTTCTGGGCTGTTAACTGCAGGGGCCCTCCCTGGGAGGTCGGAGCTGCTGGGGCTGAGGTTTTGGGAGGATTCAGGGGATCTTGCTGGGTGTGAGGGAAGCGTCCTTGAGTCAGATGTCCGTGAGTGAGAGCCAGCCTTCTTGCTCCATGTTTATCTCCCACACCACCTCTTCCCCCAGAACCAAAGTCCAGAAGGAATCAGGAGGAAAGTATTGCAGAGCAGGGCCTCTATTCCTTCCCCCTCCCCTCCAAATGCCTACCTCTTCATCCTTGTCCCTGTTAAAACACTGTGGGATGATAAGATCACCCCACAAAATCATGCGATAAAATGGTCTGGTTCCTCTGCTTGTTATCAGGGGTATCTGATCAAAGAAATGGTGCCCAGGCCTGGTTATCTAATAACCAAATAAGCATCCAGGCAGCCTCCTGGGCCAAGAAAGGTAGGTTGGGGCAGCTCTGGATGAAGCAGGGGACAGGCCGGGGTGGGCTGGGCCCCTCTTGGTGACCATTTCTGCCTCCAGAGTGAGCATGCTGGCTTGGCCCGAGTCAACCAGATCCTTACAACAACCTGCATATTACAGACGAAGAAACTGAGGCAGGAAAACCAAGTCCCTGTCCTTCAGAAGTGCCTGGTGTGCTCCTGAGCCTAGCACATGCTTTGTGCATAGTAGGGGCTCACTACATGTTTGCTGAGTGAATGAATGAGAGAACAAATGAACTGTCACAGAATGAGCACTGGGTTTATCAGAAGACCTGAATCCAAATCTTAATGCTACCACTTAGCCACTCACCACGGCTCAGTGCTAGGAGGAGGTAAACTGGTTCCCAGGGCTCACCATGTAACAGGCACTCACTCTCGGGTGGGCACAGGTGCAGATAGCCCCTCCAGGTGAATGCCTTCTCATAGTTTGAGCTCTGGGTGCCTCACCGCAGTCCCGGCCCTGCAATTCCCTCTGCATCTGTTTCTTCCTCTGTAAAATAGAATGAAGCTGTGCCCCACCTGTAGGAATTAGAAGACCATGTCCAGGAATTGAGCATTGGGTGTAGGGTCCAGTCTTCTCAGGCCCTGAAGCCCCATGGTGAGAAGTTGAAGGTCACACAGCTGGTACGCAATGGAGCCTGGATGGAAACCTGGTCTGGGCTGGAAAGACTGGCTCCTCAGACTGAACCTAAACTACCTAGGTCCTGAATGGCATCTTGTTCACCTGCCTCTGGGAAGGCAGGTTGTGGAAATACAACCTGAGGGCTGTCTGGGAACTCACCCACCAGCCCTCAAACCTGTATAGGTCTTCTTGCTCTATCTGGCTAGTGTGTGTATGGTAGGGGCTGGGGGAGGATGGCGTTGGAGGGCTTAACCTAACACCTGGCACATAAATGTTTAGTGAATATGTTTTGAATGAATGTATGAATTCAGTAGATGAATGGATGGGTGATTGGCTAGGTGGATAGATGTGTAAGTGGGTGAGTGGATGGGTGGATGGGTTAATGGGTGGATGGGTGGGTGGGTGGGGGAATGGATGGATGAATCGGCGAGTAGATGGATAGATGGATGGAGGGTGAGATGGATGGATGGATGGATGAATAGATGATTGGGTGGATGGATGCATGGATGGGTGGGTGGATGAGTGGATGGGTGGTAAGTGGGTGAATGGGTTAATGGGTGGATGAGTGGGGGGGTGGATGGATAGATGGATGCATGGGTGACTGGGTTGGTGGATGGATAGATGGATGGATGAGTGAGTGGGTGAATGGAAGGGGAGGAGGATGGGTAGGTGGATGAGGGTGAGATGGATGGGTGGATGGATGGATGGATGAGTGGATGAGTGGGTGGATAGGTGGATGAATGGGTGGATGGGTCAGTGGGTGGATGGTTTGGTGGATTAATGGGTGGATGAGTGGGTGGGTAATTGGATAGATGGATGAATGGGTGGGTAGATGGGTGAGTTAATGGGTGGATGGGTGCATGAGTGGGTGAGTAAATGGGTGGGTGGGTGGATGGGTGGGGAGATGGGTGGATGAGTGAGTGGGTAGGTGGGTGGATAGGTGGGTGGGTTAATGAGTGAGTGAATGGATAGGTGGATGAGGGAGTGAGTGAGTGAGTGGTTGGGTGGATGGTTGGGTGGGTGGTTGGATAGGTGAATGGGTGAGTGGATGGATAGATGATGGATGGGTAGGTGGGTGGGCTAATGGGTGGGTGTGTGAGTGGATGAGTGTATGGGTGGGTGGATAGGTGGGTGTGTGGATAGATGGGAGGGTGGATAGGTTGGTGGGTGGATAGGTGGGAGGGTTGATAGGTGGGTGGGTGAATAGGCGGGTGGGTGGGTAGATGGATAGGTGAATGGGTGAGTGGATGGATAGGTGATGGATGGGTAGGTGGGGTGGGCTAATGAGTGGATGGGTGTGTGAAAGGGTGAGTGGATGGGTGGGTGGGTGGATGGGTGGGTGGGTGGATGACTAACACTCCATTTGCCGTAATTGTTGCTCTGGGTGGTGCTCACACCGAATGGTTTGTTAATTTTTTAGTAACAATTCATTAATATGTTAACTCAAGCTGTGGAGACACATCTTAATCCCTGCACTTAAAGGGTGCTTTCTCACAAAGGCGGGGCCTTGTGTTCTTCCTGTGAACAGCCACAGCACCAGCGTGACAGGCAGGTGCTGTTGAGCGAAGAGCAAATGCCTGCTCTTATGTGGCCAGCCTTGTTTGCCTGGGAGGTTTGGGGATTTGTTTTTGTTAAATTTCTGGGTCCCCAGCCCAGCTCAAACCGTTCACTGATGCCGGGGTCACTCATGGCAGGCTGTGGAATGGCGGCTGAGCAGCTGGGTCTGGCACCAATAGCTTCATCAACATGACACCCAGACAGTCAGGTCCCTGACTGGTCGTGGAGCTGACCGTTTGATGCTATGTAGACCCACCAGAGCTTGCAGGCGGTCTGTAGAAAGAATGGGTTGGCTTGGTTCATTCTACTTGGGAGGCAAGAAAATTCAGCCTGAGCGAGGGCTTCTGTTGATGCAGGATGGAGGAGAGGTTGCCTGCTCATGGTGGAAGGAAGGCTTTGGGCGTCTAATGGGGCTCATGTCTTGGTGCTGCCCTTCATGAGGTACATGACTTTGGGCCTTTGGGCACAGCCTTCTGAGCCTTGTGTTGCTCAACTGCAAAGGGAGAATCCTCAGGTTTGGGGAAAATGTAATGAGATGACACAAGTAAAGCCCTCAGTGTGGGGCCTGGTGGGCTGCAGGTCTTTGGTAAGAGGGCAGATGTCACCATTATTTCAGAGGGGACTGGGTGGGTTTATGGATGAGTGGCTCACATCACCCAAGACCCCATGTTGGGCTCAGCACTGCAGGATGTTGGAGCTGGGAGGCCTCTGCAGACCAGGTCCACTCATTTTCAAATGACCTCTTGGGAGCCACCTAGAGAGGAGAGGACAGGGAAGGGAGGCAGAGAGGCTGGTCTCTGAGCCTCCTCCTCCCCAGTGTCATCTCAGGGTCACCATAGTGCTCTTCATGGGGTGGGAAGTGGTGGCCTCTAAGTGGCTATCAAATGTGAAGACTGCAAAGAGGGATCCATGGCTGTCGGAGCAAGGAGATACGCGATGGCACAGAGAGATCCGGAAAGCACATCATCTCTTGAGCAGAAGAGCACATTCATATAAACCTAGAACACAAACCTGCACGCAAGTGTTGCTTGCATTTCACGTGTGTGTATCTAAGGCAATCCATTAGACATACTCCAGGGGATGTCTTTCAGGAGGAGGAAGGAAGGAAACGGGTGTGGAGATGGGAGTGGGGGCAAAGGGAAAAATGTATACAATAAGAAAATAAGACAGATGAGGGGCCCAACATAGACCAAGGTTGTTAGCATGCCATGAACTCAGTAATGTTAAATGCAACTTCCTGTGTCTGCGATCCAAAAAGTATGGTAAGCAAAAGAGACTATGGAGAGACTGAGGCACAGCAAGTGGGAGAGGGATGGCCAGAATGGTGGTCGGGTGTCACCCAGACACTCAGGTCCCTCTGGCCGTGACACTGACAGTCTGGAGTGATGTAGATCCACCAGGGCTTGCCGAAGAGCATGGTTCGGTCCCCATCCTCTGATGTCTGCTCGTGTGTGCAGAAGAGCTGCTTGAAGCAGGGTCTCACCTTTCTGTACCCATTGGCCCCCCACTCCCATCCACCAGCTGGGTCGCAAGAAAAGGCAAAAGCTATTGTGACAGATTCCTTGTTTTGAGAGTCTTTTGTCGAAGAGGGGAAAAAAGAAAAGTTAGGGAACATGTGTGGCTTCAAATTATGTCAGTTATAAAGTTTATTGTTAGCCCACATTATAAAAATCAATATATGCTCCTCATACAGGATTTTAAAAGCACTGAGTTTATTATTTCTCTCTCATTGTAAAATTAACAGTGTTCCTAATATGCTACTTGGAAAATACAAAGTGGAAAGAAGAAAAATGAAAGTTACGTATAGTCCTTCAGCCCAGGGACAACCCCGGCTAACGCTGGGATGGATGAATTTTATATATACATATAAATACTCTCATCTATGGTCAAATTTAATAATGTGAATGCCTTGATAAACCACTAATTCCTTAATTTCATCTTTTGGGTTAATTTCCTAGTCTTTAAGGAACTGTTAGACGCAAGGCTATGGGTAGTGGATGGGCAAGGGACATGAAAAAAGAAATCTTATTTTTTGGCCAAAATATCCTGCATGTTGGATTTGCCTTTGTTTTGTTTTGCTTTGAGCCTTCCGCCTTGTTAGGCAGCTGTTTGTACACTTTCCTCTGCTTTGGATTTCAGTCTGGAAGCAGCACATTGATTTTAAACAGAAATGCCTTAAAAGGGTGGTGTTTGGGGGTTTACAATCCCCCCACCATCAGCTTGCAAGTGGTTGGTTCTGTTCTGGCTGGCACGTTATGTCAATAAGAGGGCTGGTATGTCACCCAGGGAGCAGGTTAGCTAAATTCAAGGTGAACAGACGGCACTCTCTGTTTCTCTTCTGGCCATCTGCCTAGTTTGGGGGGTCTTGGGGAATTGGAGAAGCAATATTTGGGGGTGGGGGATCTTACAAGTGCTCACAGCACAACCCAAGCCTAAGACCTTTTTTCCCTTCCTTCCCTCTTCTTTTTTTTCAGTTTACAATTAACACTCAGGGTTTAGTCTCCACCCCCTCTCTTGAAATGGAATTTTTATCTCTTGATTCATGCTACAAGATAAAATCCCTGTTTATCCAGTTGCATGAATAATTGATAAGCTCTTTCCAACTTGCCAGAAGCAACTTAGCCGTCTCGCCTTGCGGCCTGGAACCCCTGGCAATTTCCGGAGCACCGGCAAGAGACTTTTGCACAGTTTCTGCTTGGAGTCTACCGACTCTCTGTCTCAGAGGTGGGGGTTTATCTCTTGATCCTGATTCGTGAGTTACAGATGAGGCACTGAAGTTTCCAGCAATGGGGGTGTGGGGCCGGGGGAGGGAGGGAGGTGCACATCAGAGTCCACTTAGATTTTGTGAACTCTTGTCTGTGACAGGTGCGGACCCGGATTCCACTGGGAGCACCCCCCACACTCCCCATCCAGGGCTGGCAGTTTCAGAGTTCACAGAATTCATTGACTCTAATCTGCTCCCTGATAGTTTAAAGCAGGCCCAAGATATGAAAGCATTTTCCTTCCTGCATATTTAATGGACTTAATGAGATAACAATGAGAATCTGTGTTTAGGCTCTGTAGCGCATTTGGCTTTCCAGCCATGTTTATATGATAAAAGGCAGTGGGCTGTTATTTATGTGCTTAGCTGGGATTTATTCTTTTTAAACAGGTCTGGACAGCTGCTTGTTATATTTGGCTCATGCTAGCTTAAAAAAGGAATTTATGGACCTTACTGCAGAACGTCCCAATTCTTCAGGCCAAGGTAAATGCAAGTTGGGGTGGTAGTGAAGTTGCAAACTGCCCTCAAGAAAAAAAGTTAACAAGATATTGTTCCTTCCACCCCTGGCCTCCCCTTGGTTCCCTGACCCCAAAAGCCTTCCCACCAGGCTTCAGGGTGACAAACGCTTGGATTTGATGGGGCTGAGATTCGCTTGTGCCTTTGTTGATGGCAGGGCACTTCTATTGAAACTTGTTGAAAGGAGCTAGCTTCGAAGGCTCCTCCAAGACTCTATACCATACGGGGAAGCAGGGCTTTGATTCAAGGTACTCACAGCTATCAACCACGGGCATTCATTGAGTTTTCTCTTTCATTTGGGGAAGGAAGGGAGAAAATGAATCAGAGGCTGATTTTTTTTTTTCCTGGGCTGTTTTCCCCAAGCTCCAGGAAATTAAGAAACACGCCATTAGTTTTAGCAAACAATTTGAACAAAGTAAAACCAGATCTCCCACCAACGTCCAAGGACCACGAGGGGTCTGAATGCCCCTGGCACTGTTTGTGCACTCTGCGGGTCGTGGAGGAGCCACGAAATGGAAAGAGAGCTGTGGGTGATACAGGATGGTGTGCGTGACAGTCCCCCCGTGTCTTCTTTGCTACCATATTTATTGTAGCTTGGATGTTTGTGGCCTGGTGGCGCCAAAGAAAGGTGAACAGAAAGGGTTTTTGGGGCGCCATGGCCCAGACCTTAGCCTGAACGTTGTGGGAAGCCGGTGGGTGTCTACATGCGTTGGTGAAGACCAGTGGGCTTCTCCTTGGAAGCTGGTCTCCAAGATGGCTCTGGATGGCTCACTCCTGCATCTCGCCAAATCCACAGGGTCCAGCTGTGTCTCCAGGGCTGCGTGGCTTATTGAAAAAGAGAGTGTATGGTGGATTTCAATATCCATATTCTACAAAAAATGTAAAAGGGGCAGGGGACGGGAAAAAAGAAACCAGTGCTGGTGATCCTGTCCCCACAGTAAGGTCTGCGCTAGTGTGGACATGGGACAGGGGCCAGCTCACCGTTGTGTATGTGATTTTGATGTTTGTATGTTTGTTGTACCACACGAACCAGTCTTAGATGGCTGTTCTGAGTAAATGGGATGATGTGGGTAAAGCCCCCAAGACCAGAGCTTGGCACAGGGCCATGCTGGATAATGCTGACTCGTGGTGATGAGGGGAAGGAGGAGGCAGGATCCGATGGGTGAGGAGTCCAGGCTCCAGTGCAGCTAAATCACCGTCCACCAGTGTGATCTCAGCAAGCCTCTCTCCATCTGTACCTAGATGGTTCACCCATTAAACACTCCAGGCACATTGAAGGGAGATGAACAGTGTCCAGCATGGTTCTCAGCTGTGAGAAGCCATACACTCTCCTTTTCAACCCTACAACGTTCTGTCGCCTGGGGTGCAGGTTTCTTTCCTCTTTTTTTTTTTTTTTTTTTACTTATTACGAGGTAAAATACAGTCTTATTACAGAAAACTAGAAACCAGAAAAGCCCATCACACAGTCATTCACTCAACAAATGCCTATTGGGAGGGGTGGGGGATGAGCCCCTGGTGGAAATGGGGTGAAGCCGTGGACTTTCTCTGGGTGTGATGAGGGTTGACGGAGGGCTTTGAGCATCCTCAAAATTCAGAAATCTGTTCTCAGCCATCGGCAACTGTACCAGGAGAGGCAGAACTTCCGAAGTTTTCTGACTCCAAAAGCCAGTGAAAGTGCAGATTTCCTGAGAAGGAGTGAAATCTGCCAGGCAGTGATGCTTTCTCAACTTTGGGGGCAGTAAAATGTACAGACTTCAGGGAAGGAAACCAGGAAGGAGGCTGCAAAGTGTGCCTCCTCTGGGAAGAGGTCAGGGAAGCCCAGCAAAAAGCTGTTGGGGACCCAGCCAGGTTGCCTCCCTTGATGGCCCAGCCTGAGGTGTGGTGTTTCCCACCAGAGATGGCAGAAATGATTTCAGGTGCTATGTAGATAAGCCACGAACTATCATTGAATCTTTTCTTGGTTGTATTGTTAAAGAAAAAGTCTCTGTTGGGAGATGGTGTATCTTCAACACCACTTAACACTTGTCAAGCTCTCCTTTACTGAGGTAAAGCAGTCCTCAGGCTCAGAGCTTGTGACCAGGGAGCAGTATCTAGCCAAAATTTTATTTCGATGCTTTGTTTTCATTGTCTTTAAAACAAAAGATGGTCATCTTCCATTTGCCATGAAAGATACTGCTTCCCATTTCTGTTTTTTACCCATTTTTCATTAAGGTATAATTTTCATGCAGTAAAGTCTAGTCTTTTTAGTGTACAGTTCTGTGGAATTTCGATAAATGTATCCAGTGTGCAACCATCACATCAAGATATAGAAGGGTTCCTTCACCCCTAAATCCTTCCTTGGGGATGATAATCTCTCTTCACCCTCAGTCATTCTCAACCAATAGAATAGTTCTACTCAATTTCATTAATGTCTACTCTTATCTTCATTATTTCCTTTCCTTTGTTTATGATTGTTGCATCTTCACTAAAAGCTTATTATTATTTATGTCTCTTTAAAAATTTTTAGTTGTTGACCCAAGTTTTATAACATGCATCTTTAATAAAAAATTCTAACCTCAAATAATATACTACTTTATATCTAGTCTAAGAAACTTACAAAATATGTTAATTATTCTTTTCTCCAACACTTTTGTGTCATTGGTGTCATATATTAACATTTTATTTTTATGTATGCTATGAGTACACAACAGCTTGTTACTACTTTTGTTTTTGCTACTACTTTTTTGAAAGTCAGTTATCTTTTAGATTAGGAGTTGACAAATTTTTTCTGTAAAGGGTCAAATATTTTAGGTCTTGTAGTCCACAAATTCTGGACTCTGTCATAGTGTAAAAGCAGTCATAGACAATACATACATGAACTTGTGTGGCTTTGGTCCAGGAAAAATCTTTATTTACAAAAACAGACCGTGGGCTAGATTTGGCCCACAGGCTGGGATACATTTTGGGTTAATAGTTTTTGTTGTTGTTGTTGTAGTTTTAGCACTTGTATTGTCTTGTGGCTTGCCTGACATCTCAGGGGAAGTCTGATGTAATTCTTATTATTGTTCCTCTGTATGTACTATTTTTCTCTGCCTACATTTATGATTTTCTCTTTATCTTTAGTGTTCAGCAGTTTGAATAAGCTATTTCTAAGTATTTGTTTTTGCTTAATTTATCCTGGTTGGTGTACTCTGAACTTTTTGGATCTGTGGTTTGGTGTCTGTCATTAGTTTTGAAAAATGCTTTTTGTATAATTTCAACCATTTTAATGTATTAATGTATATTTTTTGTATTTTAATGTATTAATATTGGTTCCATGGCCCATAAAATGGTTTGCTTCGGTTAATGTTTCTTGCGTACTTGGATGGAGTGTTTTATAAATGTCAATTAGATAACTATTTCTTCAAATATTTTTTTCTGCCTCATTCTGTCTTCTCATTCTGGAATTCCAATTACCATTCTGCTAGACCATTTGTTATTGCCTCACAATTCTTGGATACCCTGCTTATTTTTAAAACTCTTTTCCTCTTTGAGCTTGAATAATTTCTATTGACCTATGCTTAAATTAGTTGATTCTTTTCTTACCTGTGTTAAATTTACTAATGAGCCTATCAAAATCATTATTTTTATGAGTGTAATTTTTATTTCAAGAATTTCCATTTGATTTTTTTTTCTTATAGTTTCATTCCTCTGCTGAACTTACCTATGTGATAATTCATGGTGTTCTCATTTCCGCTAGAGTCTATAACATTTTGATCAGTTATTTAAAATTCCTATCTAATAATTCCATCATCTGTATCATAGCTGTGTCTAATTCTGTTGATTTTTTTGTCTCTTGACAGTGTGTTGTTTTTTTCTCTCACTTCTTTGAATGCCTCACATTTTTTTAATTGAAAGCCAGACATCTTACGTAGGACAATATATACTGAGGTTTTAACATCTGGGAATGGAGCATGTCTTTATTTCTCCTAGGACTTCAGTATAGGCAGTTGAGTTGGTCTATTTAGGAATTCAGCTATGTTAGATTTCATTGTTGGCTATAGTTGCTCCCAGTGTGCTGCCAGCTTCAAAGTCCTTTTGTGTTAGTTTGAGTTTAAGTTGGGGGTTGGTTTGCCAGAGGATTTTTTTCAACATCTGCTCCACCCTCAGCTTTTAGTCTTCCTTTGTGCTTTGCCATAGATTGAGTCTCTCTCCTGTCTCTTGTCCCTCTCCCAGGAACAGACCACAGTTACCTGCTACTCCATATCTGTCTGCCTGGTAGTAGAGGTTGGGGAATATCCTCTGTTGTGCTTACTGTGTCTCAGTCTTAGCCAGGCACTTTGTGGTTCTGTCTATCTCCCAGCTATTGGTCTGGGCTTAGGATACATTCCTGCCCACCCTACTATACACCAGGAATAGTGTGAGGATGGGGGTTGCTGTTGTTGTAATTTCCCATTTTCATTAGTGCCGTCATGGCAGCAGGTTTCATTGCCCTTCCCCTAGACGTTTTAGGGAAATCCAGGTGAGGATTCGTGCTTTTTCTGCAGTGGTTTCTGTCCCCCTCCCCCAGTTCTATGCTGCAAGGGATGCTTTCTCAGTATTCTCATCTTGCCCTTTCCTATCTTTTTTGTGAGCACCCAGTTCAGCTGTGGAAACAAGCCTGCATATAGAGCGAATTCTTCTTATGTCTGTGGCTCTCAGAAGTGCCGTATAGTCTCAGCAGCCCATGCTCAGCCTTTAGCAATTTGTTAAATATTCTAGCTATTTTTTTTTCCTACCAGCGTCTGATGGCATCTACTCCAGGTAAGCAAGTTTTCCAGTCCTGGCTGTCCTTAGAGGCACTTATCTTTCCTTACATTTCAGGTTAGCTGGTTGCCTTGCAACCTCAGATCTCTGCTGGATTAAAGAAAAGTTGCAAAATTTCGAATTATCTGGCTTGGTTTTCTATTGGAGTAGTAAGAATGGGAGTGATGGTCTTTCCAGCATTCTACATCTGAAGCAGTTCAACT